CATTCAAGCAATTCTCCTGCCTCCACCTCCCGAATAGCTGGGATTACAGGTATGTGCTGCCACGCCCCGCTAATTTTTGTATTTTTAGTAGAGACAGGGTTTCACCATGTTGGCCAGGATGATCTCGATCTCTTGACCTCGTGATTTATCTGTTTTGGCCTCCCAAAGTGCTGGGATTATAGGTGTGAGCCACTGCACCCAGCCTTGAATCTATTAAACACAGCTAAACCAGTGGTACTTAGAGAAAAATTCATATTTAGCTATAAAAAATACAAAAAAAAAAATCCAGAAAGACAGAAACTAAATAAAACATAATGAAAAGATAACAAAGGGAATCATAAAGATAAGGGCAGAATTCAAAAAGATAAATATTTCAAGATTATGGAAAGCCAAACTGGTTAGGGTTTGGGTTCCCTTTAAGACTATCCTTTCAGCCATCATTTAGTGAATTTAGTGGATATGACAGAGTAAAAAGATAAATAATAGACTGCAAAGAGATATTCCAATGCCTAAACTCCATAAGGAGTTAATATTTAAAAATATAATAAATAGCTCAAACAAATTAGAAAAAATCAGAAAGCAAACAAAAAATGGACAAAATATCTGAATAGATAATTACTACTAAAGTGATCAAGAGTTCTGGACCAAAAAAGTATTTCTCACTAATAATCAGATAAATACACATTACAACAATGTGATACATTTTGACACTCTTCAGATTGTTGAAAATAAGTTACTCAAATAATACTAATTTGGCTAACTTGTAGAGAAAAAGGAAATTTCATGTGTTGCTAGTAAGAGTATAACATGATACGTCCATTTAAGTGAGCAAACTAGCCATATTTAGTGAAAATGATTGTGCATACCCTATCTCTTTTCTTGAGGAAATACGCTGCAGAGAATCCCCTGCAAAGGAACTATATATGAATTGGTTTATCACAGCACTATTTGTGGTTGCAGAGAGTTGGTTACAACTGAAGTGACCATTACAGGAGCTGGGGATATTGTTATTGCCAGCGAATCCATATGAGTCTGTAGCAACTTCAATTCTTGCCTCCTCAGAAGAAATAATTTGACTGAGGGGCATAAGGCAGAGTGAGATACTGAGGCAAGTTTTAGAGCAGGAGTGAAAGCTTTTGAAAAAGCTTTAGAGCAGAAATGAAATGAAGCAAAATACACTTGAAAGCAGGCCAAGTGGGCAACTTAAGAGATCAAGTGCCCTGTTTGATTTCTAATCCTGTTTTATATGTTGGCATACTTCTGGGGTCTTGCCTCCCTTCTCCCTAATTCTCTTGGCATGGGCTGTCCACATACACGGTGACTGGCTAGCACTTGGGAGGTGACCATGTGCAGTGTATTTACTGGAGTTGTACACATGCTCACTTGAGGTGTTCTTCCCTTACCAAATGTTCCTAGGTCATATACCAGTTAAATTGTACCATTTTGCCTCTCAGTGAACATGCTTGAACCCACTCACCCAACTCCTGAGATCTTCTCAGGAAACTGCTGATCACCAGTTTCAGGTTTTTTTCATTAGGAGACTGCCTTTCCCTGGATCTGACTGCTACTGTTTTAGTGAGACAGTTTACAACCATATGACCATCACCTGATGGTTGCCTGACATTCGTGGTGGAGTGGGGGAGCCCTCTCCTGCCCTGCTCATGCTGACCTACTGTAACTGTATGAGCGACATTAGATCTATGTATGTGTGCATGCGTGTGTAGAATCTGTGAAAAGAAAATAAACCTCGGAACCCCCAAATCACTAAGCCAAAGGGAAAAGTCAAGCTGGGAACTGCATCAAGTACACCTGCCTCTCATTTTACTCCTAAATAAGATAGCTACAAATATTTTTTGTTTGTTTTACAATAAGCTACATACCTCCCTCACAATTTGCCCACTAGGAAATACCATGTGGGCCCCATGATCTTTACTGTAAAATGGTTCTGTTGAACGTCACCATGACAGTGTATATTGATAGCTTATCTTCACAGATGCCGGAAAGGACAGAACTCTTAAGTCATCTCTCGGCTCACCTGAGACAAATGCATATCTGATTGTTTCCTCTGATGTAAAAATGCAGATTCACTGAGCTAGAGGAAGGCGTAAGTGACAATTCCTTTACTTGTCTCTTACATGTAAATTATGTATTTGGTGAAAGGCTGATCAGAGACTCAGAAGATTCAACCGTTTGGTTTCTTATTTACCCACACCTTTGTAGAATTTCTTCCTTTTTCCCCAATGTCCACGTTTTCCCTTTTAAATATTGAAGCTCTCAAAATCATATTTGGAGAAGGCACGGACCTACTTCTTGGGTGCATGTCCTTAAACTTGGCAAATTAAACTTTCTAAATTGATTGAGACCTGTCTTAGATACATTTTGGTTCACAAATCCATGCATGTAATGAAATATTATATGTATTATTATGTTAGGGATGCTGTAACAAAATCCCAGAGACTGAGTGACTTAAACAACTGAAATTTATTTTCTCATCATTCTGAAGGCTAGAAACCCAAGATCAAGGTGTCATCAGGGATAGCTTCCCTGAGTCCTTTCTCCTTGGATGACAGGCTCTCTTGTTTATTATTCACATTGTATTTTCCCTGTGTACACCTGCCTCCAACGTCTCTTCTTCTTCTTATAATCCACCAGTCATATTGGATTTGGATTTCATTTTAACTCAACCATCTCTTTAAAGACCTTTTCTTCACATACAATTACATTGCAAGGTACTGGAGACTTGTAACTTCACCAAATAAATTGTAGGGAGACACAATTCGGTCCATAACATAAAGCAGTTAAAATTCGATGCTCCAAAGTACGTCTGGCAACCCAGATAGAATTTGAAAACTGTTGAGTGAAAAAATATAAGAAATATAATTCTACCTATAGCTCAACAAGTTTTTTTGATAATTTACAAACACATAGACAATAAATAATTACCATAGGTTGTAGAGAAGGCGTATATGTATATATACACACATATATATGTGTATATATATGATATTTGACATAAAAGTTGGAGCCAATGAAAGAGTGATAGACTAGAACTGAAATTTGGGTAAAAAGAGAATAAACACTAAAAGAAATGGCCTTGTACGGACTGATGATGATTGCATCCTATAAACTGAGGAGTTTGATAAAATCTACTTTCAAAATTGAGGTTAAGATTTTTAAAGCTGACAATAAAGTGTGTGCAGATAGCTATGTTGCATAGACTTACATTACATTCACATTTGAAGGCATTTTTAAATGTTTAGTTGACACTGTCACAGTCATTATTAATTTTATTGCTGTAGTATCATTAAACTACATAATAATTATTGGGTTTATACAGAAGGGACACAAACAGGTAGAATGACATTAGTTTTAGAAAAGAGGTTGGACAGAGGAATAAAATAAGAGCCCACAGTAGACACTGGGGTACAAGATTAATGTGTGGTTACAACAAAACTAAATTGACATCAACTTCTGTTGTTGCAGGGGTGAATATTCTTACAAAGAATAACACGGTAGCAGAATCTGTTGCTGGACTTGTTTTCATCTATAAGAGCTGGGGAGCTAAAGGATAATAGAGGACATTATTTAGAGCCAACAGCATGGAGAAGAAGAACAATAATATCTTCACCTGAATTTTTGTCTGGTATCCTGGCCAAACTATATGGGTTGAATAAATTCAAAGCTTGATCCTGAGCTGTTAGAGATTATTTCATTTTTCCCCTGAAATAAAGAGAGTTCTGTTTATACATAGAATTTAAATACAGATAACCTCACTGGGGCCTCTACCTCAAAATGACTTTATGTTCCAGCTAGATTTCTTTCTTTTTTTTTTGTACAAATTAAGCATAATTTGAGCTTCATTGAGTTTCTCACCTAAACATTTAATTCTTTGTGATCACGTAACATAGCAATAACTGTACATAATAGTTACTACTCATTTGTGAAATAATCATTGATTACCTACTGCGTACCAGGAAATATCCTAAAAACAAAATATTAAAGACACGCTGTCAATAGTTTATCTCATATTCTTATAAAACAAATAAACTAATACAAACACAGCATCATTTCCAGCACTGAAGAAGGTGTGTTCTACTTGAGAAACTGGTGGTAAGTCCAACTGGAAATGTTTTGGAGGCAACTGGCTATATGTGTCAGAATCTTAGAATGTGGCCAGGCTATATAAATTTTGAAGTCATTTACATCTGAGTGATGGTGAAGCCACAAAAGTAGATTAAATTGCTTAAAGAGAGTTTGTGGAATACTTGATTTAACATTAACTTTAATTTAATTTGATAACTTGGTTGTTTATAATCCATGTTTGTAACATATTGTTCATGGAACCATCTTACCTGTTCATGACTTAACAACTATGAAGTGTATTTTTTTATTTGGATTTTGTTATAATTTATAATGGGAAGCAACATTAAGCCATAGAAACAACCTTGTCTTTCCAAACATGCTGACAAGGATTGAAATCTAGTGTGACACTTGATTTCGGAGTGGATACAATGAGGAACCCAATGTAAAATGCATAGCACCTACTTGGAATTAACAGTGAACATTTTATTAAATATTATCAGATTTCGTTCTTTGTAAATTTGCCATTTGTGTGGACATGGAACAATAATTTGATTACAATCAATAGTTATGGATTATTGTAAGATATTGAGTGCCTCAATAAGAGACCAAGATTTTAATTGACTCTAAACAAAGAAAACATCCAGGGGCAAATGAGACAGAAAAGAAAGCGTTCTGTATTTCCATCCTCCATGAAGCATTATTGTTTCTTCCCTTCCTCTGAACTTTTGGTTATTCTTGCTCTGAAACTCAGTCAAAAAGCCTGTGATTTAGGCTTTTAGTGCCTCTAGAGTCTACTAGGAGAAAATTATGCCTGGCATGATAGAAAGAAAATGGATTCAGAAATCAAATCCTGTTTCAGGTCTTAAACTCATGTTAACACACCATGAACTGAGAGGCATTACTACATTCTGGGGGTCTTCAGTTTTACTATCTGTAAAAGGAAGTTGTATATATTTGCACTGCATATATAATGGAGCCATGATGAGAACAAGATAAAATGAGTATATAATAAAGTGGTATTAAAAACATGATATTATACGTTTACTTATACTTAAAAGGCCTATTACCATGTTCTTCTCAGTATTTTAAAACAATATGAGAATGTCAACACTTTATTTTATTTCATCTAATTAAATGTGCTGTCATACTTGCCAAGAAATGAGCCTGACTCTACTTGCACATGGAGCTTTTCATCTCAATTTTTTTTTTTTTTTGCTTTTTTTCTGTGTTGTCATCGGTCTATGATTACTTTTTTTGCAGTCAGTTTGTACAAATACTTCTTTTATATGAAGTTGTGCTATGAATTACTGAAATTTATAATAATTATACATTTTTTTCACTAATTCAAAGGTACTATTACTTAGAAAAAAAGCACCATTATTTTATGTTGAACTAAGGAGACAAAAAAAGCATGAACACTTAAACTCCAACACACCTCAATCTTAACTTCGGAGTTGTTAAAATTTCAAGAACTATGCCTATAGGGTATGTGGCAAATGTTAATAAATGGTGTCTTAAATATGTATAACTATTATAATTTAAAAATCAGTTTTTGCATACATTGTCTCATCTCACCATGGCAGGATATTCATATTTCCCTTGATACAGAGTGTTGGAGGTCAGGCTTGGTGGCTCATGCCTGTCATTTCTGTGCTTTGGGAAGTCAAAGCAGAAGAACCACTTGAGTTCCAGGCCAGCCTAGGCAACACAGCAAGACCTCATCTTTACAAAAAGATGAAAATAAGTAAAGTGAAGTTAGCTGGGCAGGGTAGCATGCACCTGTAGTTCTAACTATTCAGAAGGATGAGGTAGGAATATTGCTTCAGCACAGGAGTTTCAGGTTACAGTCAGCTATTGATATAGGAGTTAAGAAAAAATCACTTAGGCAGAGAATGAGGGTATAGGAGTCCTTGCTAAGGCTTTTCTTTTTAATGAAAAGCAGCCCCAAATCATTTTCTAACAAAGAACAGCCTGTAAAGTCGAACTGCAGACATAGACAAGATGGGAGCTTACATAGGTGAATGATGCCAGGTACTAGGAACTAGACATGTTCAAGATGGTGGCTCCATCTTCTCTTCTCTGTCAGCCATATGTACTGTAAGGAACAGATAAGATGGCCCCAGTCAAGTGGATAATTCATTTGCATAATAAGATTAGAGTGGGGCGACCAGCCTTCCCCGAGCTCTATGTAAACACCACACCTGATTGAGCCAATCTGTGAGCCAAATGTTAATCTGACACTGCCTCCTCATGCTGGACTGTAAAATCCCCCACATCTAATGCCAGCCAGTCTTCCCTCTTTGAAGTGATAGGTGACAATGTGCTAGCAGCCCTCACTCTCAGCACCTCCTCCGCCTCAGCGTCCACTCTGGCGGTACTTGAGGCGTCCTTCAGCCCGCCACGGCACTGTGGGCGCCCCTCTCTGGGCTGGCTGAAGCCGGAGCCCCCTCCCTCTCCTTGCTGGGAAGGGTGGAGAGAGAGGATCCTGCCGGAACCAGGGTTGCGAGCCGGGCTCGCGGGCCAGTGTGAGTTCCGGCAGGCGCAGGCACGATGGGCCCCACACAGGAGCGGCTGGCCGGTGCCACCGGCCCAGGGTAGTGAGGGGCTTAGCACCCGGGCCAGCAGCTGCGGAGGTTGCGCCGGGTCCCCCAGCAGTTCAGGCCCGCCAGTGCTGCACTCAAATTCTTGCTGGGTTTAGCTGCCTCCCCACAGGGCAGGGCTCCGGACCTGCAGCCCGCCACGTCTGAGCTCCCCGCCTGGAGTGGACCGCTCCCCCGTGGCCCGATCACACTGCTGCACTCTAGCCTGGTCAACAGAGCAAGATCTTATCTCCAAAAAAATAAAAATAATAAAAAATAAATTAAAAATAGTGAAACTATAATTTACAAAACATAATTTACATAACATCACAGAGTATAGTATATTTTGGGAACAACCCAGGTTTTCTTGTAAGGGACTTGGTCTTTCTTTTGTATCACGTTTTTTTTTTTCTTTTGAGACGGAGTCTCGCTCTGTCGCCCAGGCTCTGTGCGGTGGCACCATCTCGCCTCACTGCAAGCTCCACCCCCTGGGTCCACGCCATTCTCCTGCCTTAGCCTCCCTCCCGAGTAGCTCGAACTACAGGGGCCCGCCAACATGTCCATTTAATTTTTTTGTATTTTTAGTAGAGACGGGGTTTCACCGTGTTAGCCAGGATGATCTTAATCTCCTGACCTGGTGATCTGCCAGCCTCAGCCTCCCAAAGTGCTGATTACAGGCGTGAGCCACTGTGCCCAGCCTGTGTCATGTATTTTAATGGAAAAGTGAGAAGATACAATTCGACAGTCACAGAAACTTGGAAGTGAAGGGAATAATTGAGGCACTAGTTTACCTTCTCCACTAAGGCAGAGATCTATTCTATTTAGCAGTTTATTTGCTGGCTTAGATTGAGCGCTTCTCCCAATATTAAAGTTTGACTTAGGCAATTAGTATGACCCAGTGAATAGAGAGATTTAGGAGTCTATCAGTCATGATGAAATGAGAATGCTAATGGAAATACACGCATGCACACACACACAAACACACGTATCTTAGTTTGGATGCACTCAATCATACTTTTCACAGATAACCACGAACAAAAGAAAGATGGTGAGATAGTCGAAAAATATTAAGACTTGACGGCATCTATAAATAAAACAAACACAGACTGTTTGTATCTTGCTCACAGAAAAATTCTGATCTCACTCAGTAGTTTTTTTTTTTTTTCTAATACCCAACGTGAATTGTTCTTTATCAAACAGAATATTAAAATTACTTCTCACTGTCTTAGATTTAGGTGAGGAATGAAGCCAATAGATGTTACATTTCAAATTTAGACTGTGATACTGGCAGCAAATCTTCTTCACATAGTCAGTGACAAACTGGCACAACAGGAGGACCTGCCCCTTCCTAAACCTTCCATAGCAATCCTTAAGCAATTAAATAACAACACAGCAAGAGATCGGGGGCTTTCGTCTTGAGTATCACCCACACTGTATTCAGTTATGCCTGACCCAATGTTCTCCCCATGAGCTGGCTGGAGAAACTCATGTTATACCTGTGCTCCAGTTCTGTTTTTGAAGCAGCACCATGTAGTATTTACAGTCTTTTCCTCACTGCTTAATCACTCATTATAGATCACAATGCAGAATATCCAAAAGAGATGTCTTGGTTTTATCCAAAATACAGGAGGCATAAGAAACAGGCTAGAACAAATGCAATCAGAAGAGACAAAGCAATCAAGAGAACTAGATCATGTTAGAACTGTATGAGAAGGAATTAAAGCTATCTATGATTGATATATGAAGCTTTCAATAGAAATATTAGACAACATGTGCTATCAGATGAGTAATTTCAGAGAAGAGATGAAATCTATCCAAAAACATTAAAAATATGAGAAATAAAAAACAATGAGAGTGATGAAGAATTGTTGGTTTTTTTCCATGAGTTTATCAGTAGATTGATCTGAGTTAGAATTAGTGAGTTTGAAGATGGGACAATAGAAGCTACACAAATCAAAACACAAAGAGATAAAATGCTTAAAACACTACAACAGAGCATCCAAATATGGTGAGAAAATGTTAAATGTTCAGACATATTTGAAATTGGAACC